TAAAACTCAAAAATTCAGTACTCTTCCAGCACAAGAAAAAAATGACACGAAATCGAGGAGCACGAACAAGCAGATGGTCTAAGCTAGGGACTCAAATGAGACAATGGAAATTGTATTCCGCTGTTGACGGGGGAGACAGACACTTGTGGCCAGTCTGATAGAGCCAATATATTTGTAATAGATAATCACATGGAAATAGAAGCTGGATACATGGGAAAGCTGTTGAAATTAAAACCATTTCCATCATGGCTAGGCTGTGTAAAAGGTATTGTTTCTTTTTTAACATGCTAAATATCAAAGCAATAACGAAAAAGAGTGGCAGATAGTGGTCGCAGTTCCCTACAACAGCAACGATGAGGATTTTAACGACCAAAATCATCTGTGCGAGATCCAGATATATGCCCTGCTGGCTCTTCCCTGCCAAAAAATACGAGGTGAAGATTTTGTAAACCAGGCGGGGTTAGGGGGAACGGCAGCCCCAATGATAGGGAGACATTAATATACCATTAATGTGCTTTCCCAAAGCTAGTTGCCCGGGCCGAAACATACAAGGTGAAGATTTTGCAGACCTGAGGTTGGGGGTAGGGGGGGTGGCTGCCTCCCTAAAAGGGGGAATAGGGGCAAAGCTTTACAATAACAAATATTAGTGAATGTTCTACATTTCAGATATAGTTATCACATGGAAATTAGTGTTGGGCGTCATTTCCAAATTTACTGAAGAGTTACCGAGATGATGTTTCCAGCCACGAAATTTGTGTCGTTTTTTTAAATTACAATAAACCAGAACGACCGCCAGTGATTCACTTGCTCGCCATGGAAGTTGAATGAAGAGAGGGCGAACTGCCCGGCTCCCAGAACAAGTTGAATACATTGAAAAATGTTGGTATCTATTTTTCGTTTACACAAAGGCAGAAATTGGTCATGAAAATATAATTTATGAATCCGGTTCCCTGGATGAGTTTCTGCCGACACCTCTGAAAAATTACCAGCAATTCAAAACATGTCGTGACCTAAAGCGGTATAACATTTGCGCCATATCATGGATGCAGTTATCAGGGCTATGCGTCCAAACCAACATTTACACTGGGAAACCAACACAGGACTTGTAACCCCCACCTGTTACAGGCGCCTGTCTCGCTTTCCACAAGAGATACTGCTCACCAGGATGTCTCTGCTCGAGACATGTTGGAAAGCTTACTATGAGGTACCCTCCTAGGTGAATACAATGGATGGCTGCAGCTACGGATGCTTTGTTGGTGTTATCCCCCAACAGCTCATATTTCAAGGAGCCAATCATTAACCCTACATGACCCCAGCTGATCTCCCCTATTCTTGATATTATTTCTCTTTTTTACTACTATTAATATTGATGTTGATATTATTGTTGTTTGACATTATGATTATTATAGTGCTATTTCACAATACTAACAGCATAAGAATACAAAAGAATCTTTCTGAAAATTCAGATATGGGTAAACATGTGACCTAGATATGACTAGTAACTGACTCGGGTGATCTATGAGTAACAGCAATCCATAAACAAAAAGACACTGGATATTTCATATCGATATTTCATATGGATATTTCATATATTCTTACCATCCTGGCAAGAGTGGATAAATAACTTATATGTAATTCAATATAGAGGAATTAGTACAATTAGTCTGTTTTCCCATTATGTAAAACTTCACAAATCTACTTGTAATGTATTTCTTCATCTCTTTTATTATATGTGTGTACGGCAATTAGGTATAAATATGGATAAGAGTTTGAAATTCTTCATTGCTCTTTGTATTTTGTTTTACAATCAATGAATTCATAAAACTTATATCATAAAATATCTTCATCAAAGAAATAGTTTTCCTTTTAATTTTGCTAATTACTTTACAATTAATAAATATACCTTCACATGTTAAATGAAAACCACCTGGGTTATATAGAGTTTTATTGCTTTGACATTAAATATCTTGAATGAGAGTGAAAGTGCACTTAATTCAAAACATCTAGAATTAACAATTCTAAGAAAAACACCATAGTACAATTTGCTATCATGTAAAACTAAATATATATATATATATATATATATATATATATATATAGTATATCTATATATATATATATATATATAGATATATACATATATACATATACATAATATATATATATATATATATATATATATATATATATATATATATATATATATATACCATATATATATATACATTATAATATATATATATATATATATATATATATATATACTATATATATATATATATATATATATATATACTATATATATGTATATATATTTATATATATTTATATCTATATGTATATATATGTATATATATGTATATATATGTATATATATGTATATCTATATGTATATATATGTATATATATGTATAATATGTATCTATATGTATATATATGTATGTATATATATATATCATATATATATATATATATATATATATATATATATATATATATATATATGTATTATATATATATATTATATCTATATATATATGTATATATATATATGTATATATATATATATATATATATATATATATATATATATATATATATATATATATATATATATATATATACATATATATATCTATATCTATATCTATATCTATATATATATATATATATATATATATATATATATATATAACATATATATATCTATATATATTATATATATATACTTTAAAGTGCAATGAAAAACACCTGGATAATACAGTTTTATTTATTTAATGATAAAAACCTTGAATGAGAGTGGACTGCATATAATTCAGAGCATTCAAAATTTGCTGTATTAATAAAAATACCATGAGACAATTTGTTATCATGTAGTAAAACCTTGTATAATTCTTTAAAAGTTATGCAGTTAAACATTTTTATTACCTCCCATTCTGCATCCACCACTGATGTTGTTGTCAGTGTCATAGGAGTCAAAAGCAGCAATCAACCAGAAAATTACCAAGACACTATACAACTAACATATTCAAGAGAGGACAAAAAAAGAACATCCCACTGAAGGCATTATCACCAAATGCTAAAAAGAAGGAAACAAAAGAAGAAAAAGAGGAGGAAGAAGAAGAACTGGAGGAAAAAAGAAAGAATATACTAATACTAAAAGAACTTATCTAAAATACTAATACTAAAAGAACTTACTTACTTACTAAAAAAAAAAAAAAAAAAAAAAGAGGGAAGCAAAAGGGATGTTAGTAAAGGTTAGCTGTAGGTTAGTGTTGGTGTAAAAGTTACTTTCTTTGCTGACAACAACATTAGCTATTTACTACATATAGAAGTAAATGCTGTGGAGTTTTTGCCATGTGTATTGCTTAAACATGCACCAAGAATGAATAACAAATATAGGTTTACAATCCTTTATCCAAAATTCTAAAGATATAATAAACTTTTGTTGTGGTAGTAATGTTTGATTGTGGAGTACTGTCCTATGCCCCAGTAGGGAGCTAATTTCATTTATAAAATCAGACCAAAAATTAAATCCCCCAAACAGCTGGCCCAGTGTTTTTTGGATAAGGGATTGTGAAACTACACAAAAAAACCTACAGACAAAATGACTGAAACACATTGTTAAGTCTAATAACCTATCCAAATTATAGACTACTGATACATTTCTCAAACAATTAGTATTTCTTATGTCACATTATTTTATTCCACAAAATATTTTTTTTTTTACTTTATACATATAACTCTAACATAAAATCCAATAATAATACATGGAAATCCAATAACCTATCCAAATTATAGACTACTGATACATTTCTCAAACAATTAGTATTTCTTATGTCACATTATTTTATTCCACAAGATATATTTTTTTTTACTTTACACATATAACTCTAACATAAAATCCAATAATAATACATGGAAACAAAACATTTCTTATATGTTATACCTTTAGTAAATCTTCACCTTTAAAACTGGTCACAAAATACTCCTAATCTTTGAAGAACATGTAGTATAATGTGACATGACACTAAACTTTCAGCAATATTTATGAAATTTACATGTAATCTAATACATAGAAATGAATACATTAACCCATTTGCCACGGATTTATGTTCTGTCCCCTGTAGGTTTTGGTGAATTTTGTTTCATTCACAAAATTCAAGGAGTCTATCAGTAGGCCTTAGTTACCGACCCTGGTTTTTCCATTCATTGAATTGGCGGGAAAATTAATACCATTGCTTTTGTTACTGTTATTATTGTTATTGATGTTATGATTACCAAATTGTCATTAGAATATTTTAGACAATGAAATGATACAAAAAACCCTTTCCTAAAGTGAAGGGAAAAGGTAAACAGGTGAAATAGGTAGTTCTGGATAACTGGCTATTTGGTGATTAACAACTTGTAGAACCATCTATGTGTAAATACAACAAATAAACGTGTATCAATGTGGGTATGGCATCTATTCTTGCCACATGTGGCGAATGGGTTAAATATTACTGTTTATCATTTATGTAAAAAAAAAAAAAAAAAAAAAAAAAAAAAAAAAAAAAAAAAAAAAAAAAGATCAATAAATCTAAAATATAATTGTAATATATATATATATTTCTAATTTCTTTTATTATACATGTGTGTGAGGGGTTGGATGGGTATGGGTGTGGGGATCTCTTGGGGATACATGCATGCATTCGTAAATGTGTGGATGGGCTAGTGTGTCTGTGTCAAATATGTAGCCAACTTGTTTAATTTGTACAACAATACTGAAATGGCAGTCACTTTATTGTGACTAGTTTCATGCACTGGTACACAAATAGAAAGTTCACCAAATTAAGCAAAGATAGGACAATGAAAACTCTTCCATCCTATACATGTAGTGTATGTGTGTGTGCATAGACAGACATATACACAAACTGGTGAGAATAAGCACTCATAAATGTATACAGTGACACTGGAATGGTATATAATACTTCCTGTTTCTGTAAATTATAGCCTGACTTAAGGGAAATAATTTAATGGCTGCTGTAAATTTAGACTAATTCATTATATGATGAATAGCCTGTAACCTACCTAAAGTCAACAACACAAATGCACTGAAGGTATCAACAGATCTACACTCTTTTATTCACCTTGCAATACATGTCTGCTTGGATGAAAGTGAATATCAAGTTTACACAAACATTAGTGAAATACACTAATAAATCTCTATAATCATTAAATATAATACTTTTCCTATATTGATTTCTTGTGCATGTTTTACAACTTTGTTCAGTGCAACATTAGCACAAAGATTTCATCTCATAAACTATGCTTCCAATAGCTCTATCTTTACAGACAAGTAACATAGCCCTACATCTAAAGAAATAAAGGTAACAACTGGTACTCCCAAGCATTAAGAATGGAAACACACACACACAGACACAGACACACACACACACACACACACACACACACACACACACACACACACACACACACACACACACACACACACACACACACACACACACACACCAACTAATAATTTAAAAGTATCTCATGAAACTTTTGTTTTGTTTTACCTCTATAATGTAATTAATACAAAACTGTTTACTGTTTATAATGCAAATGAAAAAAAAAAAATAAGGAAAATACAATTAAAGAGAAAAACAAAAGCATAAAAAATAATAAATATTACCATTATAATATAATAATAACAATTACAAGAATACTACAACTAATAAAAGAAAATAAAAATGAATAAGTCTGGTGAAAAAATAATAGCTAAAGCAATACCAGCATGGAAATATACAGGGATAAAACAAACAAAATGCACTGCCTCACTGAGGAAACATTTACATCTTTGCTTCATACATTTTGACAGCTTACAGTAAATATTGTGTTACGACCTTCTAGTCACAGGTTGCCATTACTTTTCCAGTCACAGCTTCAAATCACTCCAATGCCATTACTGGGTCATCAAAAGAGAAGACTTCTCCCTGAAGTTTTTTAATCATGGAAACCACTTGCTTCTGATGTTCCAGATTTTTCATTAAAAACTGTAAGGAAAATTAAACAAAATCAGCTTATTAGAGAGAGAGACAAAGACTGAGAGAGAGCAAGAGAGAGAGAGAGAGAGAGAGAGAGAGAGAGAGAGAGAGAGAGAGAGAGAGAGAGAGAGAGAGAGAGAGAGAGAGAGAGAGAGAGAGATACATACATAAAAATATACATAAATACATACACATATATATACATACATACACACATGTATATATACATACACATACATATATAAACACACAGACACACATATATATGTTTTATATATATTTATTTGTTTATTAATCCAATAAAGCCTGGGGGAACAGAGTAAAAAATGGGGAAAAAAGCTGTGCTCATTTTCTATATTTTTGCGAAATATCTCTGCCCATAGATGGCTCTGCTAGTGCTTAGCCTCAAAGGAGGTAATCAGTAGACCTTGTGACCTTACGGGAGTTGAATTGGCAGGAAAAATGTATTTTTTACTGGTGCTATAATTATAATTACCATAATGATATACGTAAAATATTTTGCAAATCAAAGAAAAGGGTAAACAGTCAAGACAGGCAGTACTCATAACTGGCTCAGTGGTGACTTAGTACAAGTGTAGCCATCTATGTGTAAAAACAATCAAACAAGTAATCACAGTGGGCATAGGACGTATGTACACATCATGCCCGTCGCCCTTTGGGTTAATTCATTACTTATGAAAAAAAAAATAATGGAAAATCCTTTACTGCCACTGAATTTGCCTTAAGTCTAAACTAATCTTTTTCTTTCCTGTACAAAGGAAACTTACAAAATAATGATATTCAAACTTACGCAGGTCCAGTTAGGGAGTTCCTGTTCCTCTGTGCCTGAAGCATTGTTGTTGGGCCCTACTCCGTAATCAGGCACATCAGCTATCTTAATATTCTTGTTAGTCTGAAGATGCAAAGAGTACAAAATACAATTCTTGAATTTGGTATCTATACATCTAGGTAAAGTACGGATAAAGGAGGAAATAATTATACAATGTAATTGTTAGGAAAACTTTGTAGAGACAGAAATTGCCAGTTCAGCAAGGAATTTGGTAAGGGTCACAAGCATTTTGCTTGCTTTTCAAGCTACACACTAA